GATGCCTACCACCAGACTTATGGAGCGTAGCGCCCCAATCAATGTCGAGAGGATTGAAATATCCAGTAATTATCCTCATACATGGATTAGACTCGTCAAACTTTTGCGCTAATGTCTCCAAGAAATGCATGAGAACTTCGTCATCCTCCCAAGGTGGGCCGAAGAAGACACCTAATGAGCATGCTTTCTTATTGTCATCTAACGCCATGCACCAGACGGCTTCTTCCTCCAATTCCATCCTTCCGGACTCCCTTGAAGCATCCTTTAACTCGGATGATCTATGACACCTCTCGGTCAAAGCTATTTTCATGTTGTGTTTCCTGGCTTCCCTTGCCGCCCTGCTTGCGAAGTTCGCACGTAGACGCTATGCATAGGTTTTGTCTCTACCATGCCACAGAAGCCGGTGTACACGTTAATTCAAAATCGGTTACATTCGATAAACAATGCGACAGTTTTAGACTGATCCATAATGACTATTTTTGGAAATTGTTTTTGCATTCACTGATTAAATTGATCTTTTTTAAATCGCTGAGGCAGGCATTGGAATTGAAAGTAACTTACCGTTACGCAGTGCTGCCAATACCCCAAGCATACAATGCATATGAGCCTCTGGAAGGGGCTCGAGGCACCTCCAAAATTATGAAACATTTCACACATTGGTCACCAAAAATTCCATTTTGCTTGGTAGGAAACATAAAAAGGGCTTATAACAGCAATCCAATTTTAAGAAAACTTTGTTGTTTATCGTAGCCTATGCACAATGCACAGCATACAGTGTTTTCTCAAATCAAACCTCTAAATACGACGACCTTCATTCGGTGAATCTTAATTAAAAACCTTTGCATAAATATAGCTGCAGTAACACACAGGCACGCGGGCGGCGCAGCGAACAGGCACGCAGGCGGCGCAGTGAACAGACACGCAGGCGGCGCAGTGCATAGGCACGCAGGACAAACTGCAGGCTCACATAGGCACGCAGGCGGCGCAGTGAATAGCACACAGGACAGACTGCTCTTGGGCAGTTACACATCACCTGAGCTCTTGGAAACTCTTTCTCGAAGGACACGTACTGCAGTTATCCCACAAGGCACTATTTGTATGCGAGCCATTGTATTGATCACATCGTATCAAGGGGCCACAATCACAACGCCTGCCCGTCGCCAGTCGATACCCAGAAATAAGGTCCCGCCGGCGAAGCACAGGCGTGATCGATGCTAGAAAGCCCTGAAATGTCTGATTGCCCCGGCTCCCAGAGATCGAATGCCAGCGGCTGCACATCTATTGGAAGTCGCTGATCACAGCGCTTAGTTGTATGGCCTCTCAACCCCGTCTGCCATTCGATTAAGAGGCGTCTCACTGCAGTAAAAGTTGACAATCCCTGCAGACCAACACAGCACAGCCGGTTAATTTTCTCAGACTGTTGGTGGTGCGTTCGTTGCCGATACAATAAGTGGTGGCCCCTTGTTCAACACCTTTGTTAGTCTTCCTCACGTAAAACTGCTGAGACGTCTTGTCCAGTGCAGGGTGAGCGGGCTGATAACGAAAGTGGGAGTTGTCAATTATCAGCACGAATATTTCACCATCTCGAGATGACGGAGCCATACGCTTCATGAACTCGCACAGATGGGTGTGGCTAATGCATGTTGAGGTCAGCCTGATTTTATCGCATATTAGGTGCGGGAATAAGTTCTCTGGCACGGCGCTTCTTCCTAATGTCCATTGGTTGAAATGGGCTGGCTCTGGTCAGGGCCAGGTCAGGAAGTTTTAGCTAACGAAATCGTGGACAGTCACTGATTTAAAGTTTTGACCTTGCTAGGAAACACGAATATTATCTGCTAACTCCTCCTACTCTTCACTGTTACAATGAAATTCGCGGTTTGCGGCTCAGTTCTAAAAAAGCAAGTAGAAAAGGTTGGTCTATTTCAGTGAGAATGCGTTGATATTTCAGTATGCTGTTGACGTATCGAAAGGTACAGAGGAATTAGCTATCTAACCACGAGTCGCCTGGCCGGGTGCTTGCACAATTCTTTGTGCGTGCAACCCATATCAAGGTATATGCATTCACGATACAATCAAGAGTACAGCAAGCTCGCTAATATAACAAATGATTTCATGCGCATATGACATTCCGTAACAAAACGAAGGCAACCCATCCCGCTGGATTTGACCCATGCGTTGGAAAGTGTACTTTTCGGATGACCTGGAGAGGCGAAAGTCGCCTGCTTCTGAAGGTCCTGGCCACAGAGGTCATGAAGACATCATTCGCCCAATAGAACCTGGTTTGAAAAAGCCGGCACTAGAAGCGGTCGTGACGCCAGTTCAAATGAAAGAAATGGATGAATTTGCAATTAGTTGTGACGTGTAGAAATTGCGACTCAGAATTATGGGTTGGACTAGTTTGATATTGATTAGCCAGTGTTGCTTAGTTGCTTACGCTCACCAAGACCATGCGGCGTCTACGTCTGGATACCGAAATCCGGGCCTGTTTCCGAGCCTCATTCTTCACCTTTTTTGTGATTCAAACATTTTGCTTTTCCTAGGAGATGGATGGGAGAGGTGAAATTGTCGTGATTCTGCAATAATGTGGGTGAAGTCCGTCTACTCAAACAACTTGCATATCAGTACCTAATGATTCATCCACCACCACGTCAAAAAAGCTTGCTGCTGCCGACAGTTTCGTGTACCCGCGGTCAGTGGTTGTAAGTAATAAGGATCCGGAAAACAATGTAGCGAGGCATGGCCGGGCCACCAAAATTTTTCATACTTAGGTGAGACTCACTCTGCACGTGACCCCGATCGTTCTATTTGGGAAACTTCTGTTGTACAGCGCATGCCTTCGAGATAGCCTGGACGATGCCACTATTGCTGCATCTGACTTGGAGCAGTCCAACAACTGGCCAACTAATTCAAGCGACAGGCTTCAAATATTATCTGAGCGTATCTTCAAGATGGAAGGCCGTGGATATTGGGCAAACCAATCATATCAGCTGGTTTGTCAAAAATGCAAAACTACTCACGCGTGTGATATAAACAAAAGAAAGAGATTCAAATCACTCTTGGTACAAAAGCGCAGCACGCAACAGATATACCGAGGCATCTCCAGGGGCACAGGAGACGCTAGCCGATCAAACCAGTTTGCATTCCCGGACTTCTCTGCTGGAACTGACGGAAGGCATCTGGTGAAGAGATTCTTTCCAAACGCATTGTGGTTTTGTGGCAAAAATGTTCCTCTTTTGAGAGATAGCAAATGTTAAGAATAAGCAGATTACCCCAATTCTGTTGCTCTTGGAAATATTCTATCGCAAACGGTTTTGTTAGCTGAAAGCTGAGGGGATGAATATAAAATAACTTAAGATTAAAATTTCCAGACAAAATTTGTTCCCGAACACATTTGTTACCAAAATAAGGTGGACGGCAAGAAACGAAATGATTGCATTTTTCCTGACTGAGCACAGAGGCAGGCAGTAGAGGTCGAAAGAGGTCGTATTTTTTAAGTCTGGAAGATATATAAATACAGAAAAATCTACCTGAAGATCTCGGTAAACGCCACTAACATACTCGTCAGATGGTATTGTCAACAGGAGTAAGGCAACCAGTTGTCAAGTAAAGCTTGCTCCGAGTGTATGAAACATTTGTGATGGATGTTATGGAAATTTTTCAGGGACGCGCAGTACCAGGAGTGAATGGCTGCTGGTGGAAAGCGATGAGCTTTCATGGTGGGAACAGAACGTCTAATGTTTTGTCAATGTCTTCGTTATGGCGTGTTGGGATGTACCGTTGGTAGGCAGTGTGAGGTATTTGAGGCAAAAGTTACTAGATAAATTTAGTGTCTTATTCTGCCCATTATGTATCCACTGACCGTCAAATCGACGCTGCAATAGCCAAGTGATGGACCTACCATGACTTTGAAAACAGAGCATTCTTGGCTTGTGGATTATTTTAATTTCCGTTGAACCCTGGTAGGTATAACCCTATTATAGTTGCGACTTTTTTAATCTTCCAACGTCTTCCAAGAGCTTCATTTTGTCTGTTTACAGCACCGTCAGCAGGGAAAGTTGGGCCTTCGTGATCTTTTGCCCTGCTGGCAGGACTAGGTCCAGCTTGGCCGTAAGCTATGAAATGACGTGCCAATGCGCCAATATACCAAAGCTAAATAACCAGCAAAGCTACATCCATGAGGTGGTTGAATATCGCAGTCTCTTTGTGACCTTATGTACCACCATCGGGTTGCAATGCTAACCCGTTTCTTTGATAAATAACCATCACTCCGTGTCGAAAAAGCAGAAAACGCTCCCATCCAGGTGCGAGCTTAATTAGCTAAGCTGCTAAGCAGATGCAATCAGGCATGATTAATCAGGCGACACCTGAACTGGTGACGTCACAGTTCTCGCCGAGCTCCGCTATCGATCTATGGCGCTAGTGTCGAGGGCGTCGATCGGGGCCGGCCGCCATCGCGGTTTTTGGTGGGCAGCCGGGCGGCGCCGGCCGCGCGCCGCTCTCCCGCCCAGTGCGTCCGCGCGTGCACATGTGTGACTCGCTCTGACCCGGGCCGCGCGCCGATGGCCAGAGGGGACCGGCCGCTCGGCCTGCCAGCACTGCCCCGGCCCTAGCCCAGTGCCGTGCTATGTTCAACTTCGCCTCCAAGCTCATCAACACGGTGATCGGCACGGACGAGCCCCAGCCGGGCCAGGGGGCCGGGCCCGGCTCGCACGGCGCGCCGCGGCCCACCGCCCCCGGTCACGCACGCATGCCAGTGCCGCAGCCGGGAGGAGTCGTGCCCGGTATGGCGCCACCCCGTCACATGGGACCGGCGCGCCTGCGAGGGCCGCGGCCCGGCGGACCCGGCGGGCCCCAGCGACCTGCGGGGCTCGCCGGGGACCCGCGGTTCGTGCGCGGCGCCGGACCGCCGGGCGCGCGCGGTCCGCGCCCGCTGCGGGGTGGCCCTCCGCACCTGAGGGCGGCTGGACCGCGCTTCCCCGGGCCGGGCGGGCCGCCGGCCGCCGCCCTGCAACCACCGCCGCCGCCGCCCGCCGACGCTGGTGAGTAACCGTGGGCTCGTGGGTCAGTGTAGGTCAGCGTGGGTCATTGGCTCGGAGGGTGGCGGTCAAGCATGGCTGCTGTCAGATGATGCTCTTGGTTCGGAATGATCACCGGCTGAAGCGGCTCCCGGGTAGGAGAGGACCACCAAACAAGTGAATCATCAAACGTCGGGGTGTCAGACTGTTTGTCCTGCTTTCGCATGTGTCCTAAAGCAAACAGGTAGGGTCGCCTTCGAGAGCGGAACTTTGCACGAGGCTGATTGCCACATCACGTGGGTTTCGGGTCCGAAATGGTGATGACATCACGTGGATCGTAGCCAGAGGGGTCATCCACACGTGAGTTTTAGGTGGAAAAGATCATCTTAGCACCACGTTGTCAGCAGTCGGCAGTGCATCAGGGTTGAGCGTGCTGAAACCCTGCCGAGGTTGACAAAGTCCGGTCTTTGCCAACAACAGCAACTGTTGGCGCGTATGATTTCAGCACAAGCTGAGTCTTGCCGGCTCCCAGCCGATGTTCACGCACCCTGACGGATGCCGGAATGGTGTCGGTGCCAGGTCTCTATGAAATGTCTCAGCCCTGGTCTTGAGGTGCCACGCCTTCACCCACAAGTCCTAGGACCGCGTGGGAACATCCCTAAAGGCGCATGCGTGGTGGTGGTAAAAGTTTCAAAGTTAATCTGCGGGAGACATCAACACAGGGTCAATGTCACACCTTCGCGAAAAATGGAGAGTCCCGTCCTGGGGAGCCTGGTTCCACACCTGTGGATCTCGGAGCCGGCAGCGTGGAGGCCGTGCGCGACTATCGAGTCACGCGGCGCGACAACCTGTCGGTGACCGTCCGGCCGCCCACTCACCGGCAGATCCGAGCGTATTGATCCCGCGCACAGCGCTGCATGGCCTCCGGCCGGAGAGAGCCGCTCCACTGGCTGCGTCGCATCACAGAACAGCACGGCCTCCGGCTGGAGAGAGCCGCTCCACTGGCTGCATTACATCACAGAACAGCACGGCCTCCGGCCGGAGAGCCGCTCCACTGGCTGCGTCACATCACAGCATAGCACGGCCTCCAACCGGAGAAAGCCACTCCGCTGGCTGCGTCACATCACAGAACAGCACGGCCTCCGGCTGGAGAGAGCCGCTCCACTGGCTGCATCAGGCCACAGAACAGCACGGCCTCCGGCCGGAGAGAGCCGCTCCACTGGCTGCGTCACAGAGGGTCGATGGCCCCTCTCAAGTTCTGACCTGTGGCGGGACCATTTTATCTCGCCGACGGCCGTACTTGTCGGCGCCTGTTGAGTTTGTTGCCCGAGGGGTGTGGGCTGCGCCCCTCCCCACCCACCGAAAGCGTCGCCAGTGGCTGACTACCCTGCCGAGAGCTGCCAATAAATCCGGCCCGGCCGGGCAGCAGAGGGTGGAATGAAGTGCGTCCAGCGCTCCCCGGGGTCAGTTGCGGCAGTGCGGGCCGTCATTCGGCGGGTCCCCGGGGTCAGCTGCGGCGTGCTGGCCGCCGTCCGATGGGTCCCTCGCAAGTCGGGTTTAGTCGAGCCCTGAGCCCAACATCGAACCATGCTGCGAGGAAAGTCATGAGACCAGATTTGCACTGAGCAGAGGCCGGAGCAGCACCTCGAGCAGAGCCTCGATGCCGGCTCAGAGCGGAGCTCGAGCAGAACCCCAACAGGGATCCAAACCGAGCCTGGAGCAGGCCCCCGAGACCAGCCGCGAGCGGAGCGCTGAGCAGACCTCTGAGCCGAGTCCCGAGCCGAGCCCCAGGCCGAGCCCAAAGTCGCGCCTCGAGCCGAGCCTGAGGCTGCGACCCTCGCTAGCGGCGAGACCAGCTGCAGGTAGCGCCGGCCGCAGCCAGGGCGGCTGAGCCGCCGCTGACGTTGGCGAGGGGGGAGGGGAGGCGTAGAGCTGAGCAAATGCATCGGTACCATTACGTGTAATGTCTCAACCGAGTGCTCCGTCGGGGCACTGCATCAGGGTCTTGGGAGCGCTCAATCTTCCGGACGATTTAATGTGGCACTTCATCGTGAGCGAATAGTACACCAATTGCAGCATGTCCTGCAATGCCTCGTCGCGTAAAGGAACGAGGGTCCCCTCCTAACGCTAACTCACTGCTACATTAGTTGCTTCAAATCTCACTCAAGAGACATGCTAGATTGCATAAAAGTATCGGCACACTTTCGAGTTATGTTTCCAAATACTTGAGTTATGTCCCGAATTGCAGCTGAATAGGCCATCCTTCGAAAGCTTTGCATAATATATCATAGAACGAATCACGACGTTCACAGTCCACATAAATACTGATAAATGAAATAATGTGTCAAGGGCGAAAGCTAGTGACTTATCAGCTAAATCCCTAACGCTGCCATGTATTTAGATATAACAAGCGTATAGCCATCACACAGCTAGCAACCGGTTCTATGCCTACTGGTAACTTCTTTCCAGTATAAATATGTCTCAGATTAGGATTCAGATTGAACTAGGTCCATAAGAAAGCACAAGTTGGAAAATAGCTGTAAGCACTAAGATGATGGCTTGACTGCATGGTCATCTGCTCAGCTTCAGAGTTAAAGGTTAAAAGGCTGGAGTGGTCTATTACATAAAATCCTGTTTTACTTTCTGATTGGTCTGCTGAGCATAAGGCGCAGACCGCCGTCGTACCAGAGGAACTAAAAGTAGAGTACATGCGTGTAGTGTAAGTGATCATGAACACCGTTGCCAGTGCCATCAGGCAACGGCACGCCCAATGTGCAGCGGTGCTAATTAGCAAACAAATTCCTTGGCGTCTATAATTCGCGGGGTTTGCCTCATTAGGCTAGCACCACACTGGTCTCGTCAGTTTGTTTTCACGTGCAACTGCATAAGCCGCCGTAGTGTTCGCTCGCAGGCTGCGCCCCTGTTTGGTCTTCATTAGAGTGGTAACAGCCAGCCGGTCCGAGCCATTGCCGATGAGTGTACTCGCACTCGTCCCCCCAATTCTTGAGCCGCGGCTAAATTTGACCCCGCCTGCCTGCATTCGAGTCCAGTAAAGTAAACCATGCCGTTAGCTGCATCATTTGCTGCAATTCTTTCAGTCCCAATGCCTCTATTGCAGCTGTTTCAAGTTTTGAGTAGCCGCGTTCCTGAATTATTCGAGATATTCTTATGGTTGGTTGGCCGTTGCTCTAAGTGACTGCTATCGAGCGGGAAGCGTTACCATGAGCCGCAAGGCCAGAGGTGGAGGGGGAGAGTGGAGCAGCGTCTAGAGAAGAGCGTTACCATGAGCCGGCAGGCCGGGGGTGGAGGGGGGAGGGAGGGTGGGAGGAAGAGCAGCGTCTGGCGGAGAGAGCGTTACCAGGAGGCGGCAGGCCGGGGGGGGGGGGGGGAGGGGGACTGGGAGGGGAGGAGAGCAGCGTCTACCTCACTGCTATCGACCTTACCATGGTCACCGCCGGTGTCAGACTGGCAGCCCGTGCCCACCAACAGGACCAACGTCCTTCGGGGCGTGGTTCGATGAACGCAGCGGGTTTTCTGGCTGGCAGCTGGTCTGGTTGTCGGCCCATGTAGTTGTCGGCTCATCGGGTTGACAACTCAGTAGGTTGACGATTCGTCTGGATCACAGCTCCTCCGCATGAACTCTTCTTCAAACAAACTCTTCTAGCAGGTTTAAGATGACGCGTCATTCGGAGTGACAAGAAGACTTTCGTCTTGGTCGGCGATTCGTCTGACCTCATGACTTGTCTTCGCTATGCGTGACAAGTCTTGGCCACCAACTCGGTCAGACTTGTAACACACGACTTTTCCTGGCCAGTAATTCGTTTGCACACATGTCGTGTTCCACCCGGCTGCTCCGTAAGCCACCTGAGCTGTTTTGAACAGCAGCTTGAATAGCACCCCTCCAGACTGTTGACCTGCCTTGATCGATGGCGTCTCTGGACTGGTGACCTGCCTTGACCTGGCGCTCTTGACCAGACCGATTGGACGCTCGCCTAAGCCAGATTCCGACCAGATCGCCGACGCTCTCGTGACCGGCTCCTCCGGAGCGCCTTTTGCCGACGCGCATATCTGTGGAAGTCAGCGGGCTCAGACCCGTCATCACATTGGCGCAGCGTGACGAATGTGGCAGCCGCTTCGTGAGTGATAGCCTGAGAAATAAAGCGCCCGACTGCTTGGCCACTAATGGATTGTTTCTTCAGCAGCCTGGATGATGGAATGGAGTAGGATTTTCCACATTATTGGCGTTTGCCTCATCATCTTTGCAACTTTAGGAGCTTCTGGACAGTGGACAATTTATACTTAGTTGGATGCAATTTCTTAACATATTCAACCTAATGCCATTTTTGTCATGAGGCGTAGACACCATGCCGCTAGTATCATGCAACAGTATAGGGAGAAATTGCCGTTACATTGGGTGAGGATTACATCCCTCCAGACTGGTGACCTGCCTTGACCGGGACGCCTTCGTGCTAGTGACCTGCCTTGACCGATAGCTCATCCGTACTAGTGACCTACCTTGGTTGGCATGGTTTGACAAGCCTTATCTATAACCACCCATTTCCACCCCTCGTGATGCGAAAAACGCTTCGTTGCGTTTCCCGTACGTGTTTTAGACAGCGTTTTCGTCCGATCTGACGCACGCGTTCTGTTCGCCATAAGCAGCAGACGCGCCACCCACTGCACCGGCCAGGTTACGCCAATGTGGCGGAGGTACGTCAGCACCACCTCACATCCTGCCAGACAAGCGTATTAGAATACCGTTTGGTTGCAGCCATTTCAATCACTCATCCTTCAATTTCTTGAGGTTGGTGTGCCCTGACTCGCCTCCGCTCCGTTTGGCAGGCGTATGTGTAAACTTTGAAACACTCTGAAATGCATCATGCGCGCTAGGTAGATTAGTTTGAACCAAATAACAGACCGCAAATTAATAACAGCCAAAGCGCAAAAGAGCCACTCAAATGCTTCCTGTGCCTTATAATGGACCTTGTTATTGATCAGCCCACGGTGTGTTTGTGGCTATATTT